GTTGGGGGCCAGGTTTCCTTGAGGGTGAGGGTCTAAATTGGTTTCTTCCTAGACAAGGCCAGTACTCAGCCAAGTCCACCTGTTTTCCTCCTGGGCTCCTCCCCCTTCCCCGGCTGCTCCCGGGAGCGCCGTCCCAGGAGGGGAGGGCGTACCACTTGGTCCCAGCTCCCAGTGTTTGCCCTGGAGTTAATGTTTAGCTCAGCCGATTCCCTCCCCCCAGACCTGGAGCTCTGCTTCCCGGGCAGGCGGGCGGCTGGCTGTGGGGTGTGGGAGCCCAAGGCCCACACAGGGAGGCATCCCGGGCCCCGGCTTTCTGCGCGCCCCCACCTGCTCCTCCCAGCGCAGGCCCACAGTCCTCCACGCTGGGCCCGCAGCTGTGCCCATGTGTTTGCAGGGAGTCCTATGAGGACCAGCCCTGAGGGCCTGGGTCTGGGTGGCCGGGACGGCGGCATGTTCAGGCGAGGACACGGAAGTGCTGAGTTCCCCTGTGGCTGCTGAGGACTGGCTGACACGGGCGCAGGGCAGCTCAGACGCGGGGCTGGGAGAATGTTGGCGGGACTGATCCCAGAACACAGGATAGAACTGGGGGCTGTGCGGGCGGGTGCACATAGTGCCGTGTGAAGGGGACGGTTTTCGAGGCGAGGGAGGAACGCCTCACTTGGTGAAGGGTTTCAAGCAGCTGGCATGGGAAACCCAGCATGCGGGGATGTGGACGACGTAGAGCGGGTCCTTCCTGGAGAAGGTGGCGTGGGGCGACTGCCCAGCGTGTGCATGAGGAGTCGGAAGGACTCAGACTTTTCCTCCACTTTCTCCAACGCCGTTTCCCCGGGAGGCCTGGGGTCCTCTGGTCAGCATCGTCGGGGGTGAGAGTCGCCACTCGACCTTTCGGTGCGTTAGGTCACTTGGGACTGCTGTCCGTGCTGTCCCAGGTCGCCGGCTCCCAGGCACAGCGCTCACCATCATGCAGGCTCGAGCCTCCTTAGAGTGGGCACAGCCGGGAGGGCTGCCTCCCCAGCCCAGCGCTGTCTGCTTCCTGCCCAGCTGCTCCTGGAGCCCCGCGCCCTCCTCGCGTGGCTCCGTCCTCCCCGCGACCTCAGCGTCCCTGTGTGGGGCTGGCTCCTTTGACCTGGGCCACAGTCTCTGTTCTGAGCAGCTGCTGGGCCCTGCGGTCTGAGCCGCCTGGGAAATCTGGCCGGGCCGGCCGCAGGGCAGGGTCCCTGGGAAGGAAGCAGACGCCTCAGACACCCAGTGCTGTGGCCACAGCCCCTCAGCCATCTGTCCAGCTTCTCCCGTCAGCGCGTCTGCTGTGAGACGGTCACCCCTCCAGACCTGTTGCTGCTGTTGCAGGGACGGGAGGACACGACGACGGGTCAGTGAGAGGAGAGGGGCCTCCAAGAAGGCCCTGGCTGAGTCTCGGGTTTCATCACCACAGCCCTGCCCCTGCCCCTCCTCCCCGCTCCCCCACTTGGCGCCTGGTGGCTACTTTCCTTCGCAGGAAACATCTGCGGGGAGGCCAGGCGCAGGGGTTACTGGAGGACGTTGGCCAGTGCCATCACCAGTCCTGTCACTTGAAGCAGTGTAGGCTCTGGCCCTGCCCGCCACCGTCCTGACTGCCCCCACCCCCCCCTCGGCCACCAGGGAGTCTAACAAAGAAGCTGTTTGCTGGTCAGCCCAGAGGAGTGCGCTGGGAGGGAAGGGGTGTGTGTCGGGTGGGGGAGCGGCGCTGTGGCCACAGCCCTCGGTGGCCACTCCGCCTGGGTGGGGGCCGTGAGTCACGGTGTCGTCCGGAGCGGAGGTGGCACACAGGGCTGGGCTGGGCGGTGTGCGGGGCAGACGGGCGCAGAGCTGGGCGCTGGTGCCTGCCCTGGAGCAGCGCAGCGTGAGCCACTCTGTCTGAGTAGCCGGCGGCCGCTCTCTGCGCTCAGCTGGGGGCACCCGCTTCCCATGCAGCTGGCTGTCCCCCGGGGCCTGCGTTCAGACCTCGCTGCTCCGTGCACCTGCCGTGGCGGCGGCCCCTCCCGGCTCAGCTGGCACCTGGGAGTGGCTGTGCGCACGGACCGGGCGCGGGGCTCCACGACCTCCCCGGTCACCGTCCGTGGGCGACTGGCCAGCAAGCCCGTCCCGTCCCGAGAAGCGTGCTGACCACACCCTCCGTGGGTGAAGTCTGTGCTGGGAACGGAGCCCGGAGAGGCCAGGAGGCCAGTCAGGGGCGCGGAGCCGAGGCCGCTTGTCCGCGGTCGGCCCAGCGGGCCCAGCTGGGTCCAGCCCGAGGGGACTCGGAGGAGAGGGTCGCCTGGGGAGCAATGGACTCTTTGACGGAATGTGGGGTCCTCTGGAGCCTCCTGCTGGAGCAGGGCCGCCAGCCCTCGCGGTGGGACCCGCCGAAGGTGACCGAGGGGCCCCGTGGCCGGCGTGGATCTGAGGAAATCCCGGCCGTGAGTGTCACCCCCTTTCTCTCTGTCTGTGTGGCCGTTCTGCCCGCCCGTCACCCCCCCAGCCCTGCTCCCCGAGGGCTCCAGACCTGACAGCCCCGGAACCAGAGTGTGCTGTTAACGTAGGCGAGCCTTGCCCTTAGGAGATGGCTTTCAGAGCATGGGGCGCGCTCGAGGCTCGAGGGGCGAGGGCTGGCCCACACCCAGCCTGCAGCCCGGAGAATCGGGCGTTACCTGTGAGCCTGGGCGAGGGAGCTTCTGTACAAGCGGCCTGGGGCCCTCAGAGGTCAGGCCGGGTCCGGCCTCCTTTCCCCAGCTCTGCTCCGAGGCGAGGAGCGGGGACTGGCAGCCTGCCCGCCCTCCCTCCCCCGGAGCTCCCACTGGGCACGAGAGCAGCGGGGCGACAGGTCAGTTCGGAAGGAGCATCAGGAGGAGGATTTGCGGCTCCGGGACGCCTATGTCCAGTTCCACCCGAGGGGTGGGGCCGCCCGGGAGGCACGTCCTCGGGCTGATGTTGGGGCTGGGCTGCACGGAACACACACCCCTTATGTGCTTCTAAGCACGCAGTGCAGGGGTGCTGAGTACGTCCACATCGTTGTACAACCAGTTTCCAAAGCTTTCATCTTGCAGAGCCATAGCCCTCTGGGTCACCCTTAACAAGGAGGCCGCCACATGGTGGGAGCTGAGCGGCTGACACGGACTCGGCCTGGGAGGCGGGCCCGTCCGCCCGTCCCAGGGACTGTGCTGACCACCTCTCGCTTGTGAAGTTTCATGCTGGGTGCAGGGCCGCGGGGGAGAGCAGAGGCCAGTCCGGGCCTTAGCTTCCTCGGCGGTGATAGGCGGTTGGGTTAGATCGTCTACCCCCTAAAACGACCCGCCTGTGGGCATGGAAGGCTGTTGGGCAGCACAAAGCAGGTGGACATCGCATCCCCACGAGTGAGTTCGGATGGGCGTCTGCTGTTTGCTCAGCACAGCGACCCCGAGGCCGGGTGCGGTTGGCTCAGATGGCAGCGTGGCTCAGGCCGCCGTGGCTCAGGCCACACGCCCACTCAGTGACCACATTCCTTGGGCAAGTGGCCTCACTTCTTTGTGCCTCGGCTTCCCCATGTGTAAAATGGGGAAATAAGCATCCCGCGGGCAAGTGAAACGCTGTGGGTGGAGGTTCTGACAGTGCTTGGCGTGTGGAAATGGCTCACCACACGTTAGCTTGATGGGGCTCTGGGGGCCACGTACACGTGATGAGGAACTCGGTGGTGGTCAGCAAGGGGTCCGTGTGGACTCTGCTCGGTGCGGCCAGAGGCGTTGGGATTGGACGCCTCGGCATCTGTCTGGCAGTAACGTCTGGCCGGGGCGTGTGGGGTTCTGGGGTCTTGTCTCGCCCAGAAGGCACGGGAGTGGCTGCTTCCGGGCACTCACGCCCAGTGGCCCGACACTTGGCTCAAGCACCTGGCAGGTGATTTTCAGTTTGGGACTCTGTGCGGTCAGTAGCAGGGTGTCCACTCTGACCAGGGCAGCTCATGTTCTAAGCAAGACAAACCAGTTTAAAATCCATGCGAACAGACCGAGCAATGGACAGCATCCGGGTCCTCTCTTCCGGAAAACCTCCCTGAACTGCAGCCATGTTGTCTGTTCTCTCTGCTCCCTGGAGTGCGCCTGTCCCCCGGCGCAGGAGCCGCTCGGCCCCTGGCTCAGGCGGCCAGGGAGCCTCTGGCTGTGGTCAGGCCACAGCCTCAGCTTCCTCGCGGGCACCTGGCTTTGCAGAAAGAAAAAAATGGACAGTCCAGAGCCCATGCCACTATCGCAACAGCTGTATGCCATTGGGTTCCTAGAAAAATGGGCCAGAAAGTGGGAATGGCCTAGACCAGTGATGGCGAACCTATGACACGCGTGTCAGAGGTGACACGCGAACTCATTTTTTTGGTTGATTTTTCTTTGTTAAATGGCATTTAAATATATAAAATAAATATCAAAAATATAAGTCTTTGTTTTACTATGGTTGCAAAGATCAAAAAATTTCTATATGTGACACGGCACCAGAGTTAAGTTAGGGTTTTTCAAAATGCTGACACGCCGAGCTCAAAAGGTTCGCCATCACTGGCCTAGACCCAGCTCCCGCGTCACCGGACGGTCTGACTGCACGAGTGTGTCCTGCACAGCGGGCCGCAGTGTGCCCGGTGGCGTGCCGCGCTCCCGCTGCCATGCATGGCTCTCCCTGCACCAGGGCTTTATGGTCATCGCTGGTGCCTTTCATCTCCAGGGCACGTTCCTTTTTCTTTTTTAAGATCGTGAGCTTGGAGCAGGGTTTTAGTGTATTCATGGGGCTCATGGTATTTCCAAGGAGGATTTGCTAGGGCAGTTTATGGGTATGAGTCTGCACTGAGGCACCGAAAAGCTAGGTGGGCACAGGAGCGGCTGGAGGCACAGTGGTGGGAGGAGGTGAGCGCTGGACCAGGAATCGAGAGATCAGCCCCTGACCAGCTGGGGCCGCGGACAGGGGAGACGCTCTCGCCTCAGCTTCCTCGTGGCTCATGTAAGTGCTGGGTTCGCTAATCTTGCGAAGGATGGTGCGGGCTGAGCTCAGGTGCCTCTAGTTGCTTTTAATTCCTTCTGAAGTCTCTACTGCAGCGGTTCTCAACCTGTGGGTTGTGACCCCTTTGGTGGTCGAACGACCCTTTCACAGGGGTCGCCTAAGACCATCCTGCATATCAGGTATTTACATTACGATTCATAACGGTAGCAACATTACAGTTATGAAGTAGCAACGAAAATAATTTTATGGTTGGGTCACAACATGAGGAACTGTATTTAAAGGGCCAGAAGGTTGAGAACCACTGCTCTACTGTGTGCCCAGCTGCTCGTCCTGTGGGTGGTTTGCCAATAGTCTGTGAAAGTGCGAGTCCCTGAGAAAACGCTGGCCTGTGACACTGTGCGGGTCTCGTGTGTCAGGATGTTTTTCCATCATGAGTGTCACGCACAGCGAGCGCCCACCATCAGTCGCAGCAACTTCTGAGGCGGGCGATGGGCACGTGGCACGCTGAGTCCTGCGGGGGGACGGGGCGCCCGGGCTGCTGCTTCCTGCTGCTGAGGCAGAGGAGCAATAGCTGACATGGTCCCGGGAGCTTCCGGGCGGCCGCCCTCTGCCTGTGTCTCTGGCTGTAACGTGGGCCCTGCTCCGGGCATTTGACTTTCTCACTGACGGACATGGGACTCAGAGCCTCTCACAGCATCGTTCTCTCCACACGATGTCCCCGCCCTGCGCCACGCCCTCTGCCTGCCCTGGCCACCTGGGCCCGTGGGACAGCAGAGCCTCGCTGTGCCTTTAGAACACGCAAGCAGGTGCTCCTCCTGCCCCTTCCTCCCCACCCCACAGAGCTGGGAGCACCCCCTGACCTCGGCCGTTGTCGTGCAGGTGTTAAGCCCCACTTACAAGCAGAGAAATGAAGACTTCAGAAAGCTCTTTAAGCAACTTCCAGACTCGGAGCGCCTCATTGTGGGTGAGCGGGTGACTGGGTTGGGGCGGGGGGCGGGGGGGAGGCCAGGAAGGAAGTCTGGGAGCTCTGGGACCTCACACGGCTGCTTCTGTCTAGAGATTCCCAAGTAAGAGCCAAGGCCGGTGAGAAAGGCTGTCTGGGAACAGGGAGAGGGGTGCCCAGAGCGCTGGCCCCGGGCTGAGCACTGCGGTGGTGCCTCAGAGAGAGCCGACCTGGAGGAGTGGCTCCCACCCTCACCCCGCAGATGGTCGTCGGAGAAGGGCGGGTACTTGTGGGTTGGAGCGGGGCATTCGGGGATGAATAGGCCTTTCTGCCGCCTCTCATGCCAGCCGTTCCTCTGCCTGCAGGCAGTGGTGTGTCTCACGGCCTCTTTTTCCCGAGGATGAGATGCCAGGGGTTCCTTGGCACTAGTTCAGACCTGGTCAGTGTAGGCAGGTGCCCGCCCCCATGCGGGGAGGGCAGGTGCTTCCGGAATCTGAGCCCCCCTCCCCCCACAGACTACTCCTGCGCACTCCAAAGAGACATTCTCCTTCAGGGCCGACTCTACCTCTCGGAAAACTGGATCTGCTTCTACAGCAACATCTTCCGCTGGGAAACTCTGGTAAAGACCGGCCTGCTCCGCGGGCGGTCCCCTGGGCTGGGCTGGGCTGGGCGC